TGGTTTGGACAGACCACAAAAACCTGGCTTATCTCCAATCTGCAAAACGATCCAACCCACGTCACTCAAGATGGTCTTTATTCTTTTCTCGTTTCAACCTCATCATTTCTTACAGACCCGGTTCCAAGAACGTCAAGCCCGATTCTCTCTCTCGTCTGTACTCCACTGATCAACCTGAGACACCCGAGCCTGTTCTTTCTGCCTCCTGTACGATTGGAGTCGTTTCCTGGGAGATCACTGATCTCATCAACTCTGCCCTGGCCTCTGAACCTGACCCAGGTAACGGTCCTCCAAATAAAACTTATGTTCTGTCTTCCGTCAGATCCCGACTGATCCAGTGGAAGCATGCAGCAAAATTCTCCGCCCATCCTGGAGTGAGCAGAACTATTGCCCTCATAACAAGACGTTTTTGGTGGCCATCACTTCACAGAGATGTTAAGGAGTACGTTCTGGCTTGTCCCATCTGCGCCAGAAATAAGACCTCTCACCAACCACAGTACCTCGTCGACTGGGAGGGCTACGGCCCGGAGGACCGCACCTGGGTTCCTGGCTCATACATCCTCGATCCATCCCTGATCGAGGAGTATGAGAGTTCTCTCCCGTCCACTTCCTCGGGACCGCCAAGAGCCGGTCGTTGAGAGGGGGGTACTGTTGGGATCTGGGGATGTACCATTTTTCTCCAGCAGAGTGCGCCGTGGGTCTCCTGGGCTGGAGCCCTCCAGCACACCTGGAGCTCGTCAGCCCATCAGGAGACCTTCCCTACTTAAGCAGCTGCCAGGCCTTCCTTCAACGCCGCAGTGTTGACCTAGTTTGGAAACCTGTCTCAAGTCTGAAGCTCTGGATGAGCTTAACCTGCCTGCCAGCCCTGGTGAGCCAAACCCGAAGATTCCAATCTGGATTTCTCCTGCTGCTCTCAGAGAAGAGCTGGAAACTCTGATCAAGGTCTGCCATTCAAAGTCAGAAGCTAGACGCTGCTGCTGCTTGTGCACTTTGCTGAACCAACAGTCTCTGGACCCAACGGTTCCCTCTCTCACAAGTAAAGCCTGGACTTCTTCAAGGTAGACTCTGAATTATCCAAAGACTCAATTAATCATCTGACTGCCCGGCCAATCAAACTGTCCATCTCTGCAGACATCAGTGAACCCAACCCGGACCAATGCCTGAACCAGTTCATGTCTTTGTGTGAAAATCTATTTCAATAAACTCTGTTAAACTTTTACTCAGCCTCCGTTGTGTTCTGCATGTTGGTTTAGCCTTAAACCAATCATGACAAAAACAAGACAGGCAATAAAAAGGAATGTTTTAGACATTTTTAATAAACTGATGGACAACATGGACAGTGGATCAAAATGTGCACCAAAAATGGTAAGCTTTAAACGGGTGGTGGTGCAATCTTCTGCTGGGTTTCCATATTTTTCCATGATGGTCTAAATGTTGAACCAACATGCTTGACTGGTATGAAATGAAATTATCAGTGTTTTTTTTTTTGTTTATTTCAACCAATGTATGATGAGATAATGGCCGTCTCAGCTTGTCCCTTCTTATATACATGTGTTTGTCTCAGTTCAAAAGAAAATGAAAAAAAAAAGTAACTCTAAACTTCTAAAAGATTGAGTAATACTGAAAAGTTCTGATTATAAAAGCTGGAGTTCTCAAGAAATATGAGATGGGTGTTAATTATTGCTGGGGGTTTTCTGCAGTTATTTGGCTTTAGAATTAAACAGGGTTTTAGTAATATTTTGTTTGTAAATTGTAACTTTAGTCACACTTTATAGGTAGTCTCAAAAACAAATAGTAACTTGATTTCTGTATTAGATAATGTCTTCAGCTAAACCTAAAGTAGGAATAGAATTATACGTCTCCTCACAGCGTTTTTTTCAGATGTTTTTTCCAAGAGCAGTAACAAAACCTGAACCAAGGCTCAGTTCCACCTTCAGAAGTTCAGCTTTGTAAGAAAAATATCTGTCTAGTTCTTGATTCAGTTCAGAAGTCAACTTGCTTTCTTGTTTACTTGTCTTAAATGAAAATGAATTACTTAATCCAAAGAATTACCTTGAATTTGGAGGATGAGTTAATAAACGGTGCCACAAATCTTTGAAGGAAATATTTAGGATTGGAAAAAAAAGTAAAAGCAGAAAACAGATTTCTGTTTAATTCTGACATATATTTCTTTAAGTGTCTCTAAACACTCTGGTCAGCAGCATCTACTATGTCTGAGCCCTGAAAAAATCAGACTGATTACCTGGTTCGTAACCTGATATGCAATTTTTCTCAGGGTGTCCAAAGAGAAACAAACAAATCTGTTAACAAAATCATTGATTTAGGCATTAATTGCAGAAGACATATTCACCTTCTTGTCCTCAGGCCTTCCTTTTTGGCCATAGCTGTGGGAACAACAAAATGGCAAAGATCTTAGGATTTCTCATGCATTTATCTCACAGCTACACCCTCTAAGACAGTTATCTGGGTCCAGAATCTGACAGTTGCAAAGAACCGATGTTATATCCACCCTTGACCACACAGTTTCCAAAACAAATGCCAAGGAGTTTCACATCCCTTCTTGAGTATAAAAGATAACACAGATAACATGTATTAACATCTGTATCTCACAAGACAAAGGTTAATGACTTTGCCTTGATGAATAAATACGATCAATCTTATAATTTTGTTATTAACAAGTGAAAGAAAGCTGAAAACTACCATCAGCTTGAGTAGTTTATAGAATCAGATTTCAATAAGGATTACATTTTTAAGGGAATTAATGTGGAGCACATAGTGTATTAGGTTTAGAGAGTGATATATTTTTAATCAAACATCAGGTTGGTTTGATTAGCTTTTTTCCCTTAAGTCATAGGCGAATCTGTGGATGTTATGTATAAAGCTGTACTAAGCCTGTCTTCCAGTTCCAGGTTTTCCAGCCTGCCCTGAATCCTCATTGAGCTGGTGTCTTTAAAGGTTGGCCTTGGCTCCACCCTCTCTCTCTCTCCAGCCTGGCAGCTGCTGCTGCTCACTACCTTTTCTTTTTGTATATTTTAACCCCTAGTTTGTAATAAATCCTATGTTGGATATGTTAAATGTTTTGTTGTTTTCCACTATGTTGCACCCACCAAGCCGGGGTGTAAAATATTGGGGGCTTGTCCTATTTTTGGTTTGAATTCGGAGTATAGTTTGCTTAATTTTGTTCTCCTATTGTTGTTTTAGGGTTTAGGTTATGGCTGCTAGTTTAGTCTCCTTTTTTTCCCTGAGTGTTTAGTTTGGTCCCTTTGGCTAGACCAGGGAGTGTTCCAACAAGTTTGGTTCATTCATTTGTTATTTTGCCTTTTTTATTTTTGAGGTACTCCTGGGTGGAGACACCAGTCTCTGTCAGGGGTAAGCAAGTCAGAGTCTTAAATAAGACTACTGATGTTCTGCTTTTAAAGCCACCTCTAGCCCGGCACACCTCAGAAGATATTTAGGCTTTAGTCTTGGTTAGGCAGATACCAGGGGACCATTTTGTGCAGTGTTAATGCTAATGTGCACTCAGGTTTGTATTGCATAGTTTGATGGGAGTTTTGTGTGAGTTAGGTGAGTAATAGTGAGCTTTGTTTGTGTCCTTGAGCCTAACTTAGTGCAGTTTAGTGAGTTGTCAAGGTTTGTAAGTAGCTTGACATTGTGTGTAGGTCAAACTGTTTGTAGTTTAATAGCTAATTGCTGTGTAGACTAGTTTGTTGCTACTTTTGTGGCTAGTTTGTAAGTTTGAGCCTACTTGTTTGAGAGAGCATTTTGTTAACTGCTTTGTGTGTGGGGACATTTAGTGTGCATGAAATAGTGCATTTGTGTGGTTTTCTTTTTCAGTTTTTTTACTTGGTTGCCAACAGTAGTCTAGAGCATTTACTATGGCTTCTATCTCAGATTTCATTCAGTCACCCTCAGTGGAGTTGCTAGACAGGTTCACTAGAGAACAGTTACTGAGTTTGGCTGCACATTATAATGCAGATACTTCAGGTTAGAATAAACGACTAAAAGAGCATATTAAAGATAGTCTTAAAACTGTTTTAGTTGAGAGTGGCCAGCTTAAACGGTTTTCTGATTCCCTGGCCTCTCCTGCTTCTCCCAGTGTGACTGTGACTATCCCAGAACCTGCATTTTCGTCAGCAACTTCACCTGTTCCTGTTTCTTCAGATCCTGCTATGGAGGTGAGACTGAGAGAGCTGAGTATGCAAGAGCGAGAGTTGGCATTAAGAGAAAAACAAATGATGAGCATGAACGTTTTCTAAAAGAATTGGAGTTTAAAAGGGCTTCAATAAACATTAAATGTGAGCCAGCTGAATTTGATGTCATTAAAAATATAAGACTGGTTCCCCCATTTCTGGAAAATTATGTTGAAAACTATTTTCCACATTTTGAACGTATAGCTACCATTTCCAAATGGCCCAAACATTCTTGGACCCTGCTTTTACAAAGTGTGTTAGTTGGGAAGGCACAAGTAGCATATTCTGCTGTATCTATTGACCAAAGTGAGGACCATGATACTGTTAAAAATGCTGTCCTCAGGGCTTATGAAATGGTTCCTGAAGCCTATCGTCAATGCTTTAGAGGCTTATCTAAACCTCATCAGACATGCTAAGAGCAGTCTGGGAGTATTTCTGTTTTTTTATTTTTAGAAAATGCAATATTGACGAAAATACAAAGATATACAAAAAGAAACCCATGCCTCTAAAAAATACAAAAGAATAAAAAAGTAAGAAAAAGGAAATATTGCCACCGGAAGTTATTCTGTTTGCGCACGCGCAAATGAGCTGATGGTAAGGATCGTGCTTCCGGTACGGATCGGGTAATGACAATGACTTGATGATATGAATAGAGTCTGGTGTGCTGTTGTTTGGTTGGAAAGAAAACCTGCAGCCACACGGCCCTTTCTGGAACCACTTTGACACCTGTGCAGTAGATGATCTTAAACAGTTAATGCTCATTGAAGAGTTTAAAAATTGTCTGCCAGATGCCATTTGTACTTATCTAAAACCAAACAAAAAGTTACCACTCTTGATAAAGCTGCTGTCCTTGCAGATGAATTTCTGTTAACACACAAATCCAGCTTTTACAGAGGGCAGGGAGAGACAAAAGTGAAACCTTACAAACAATATTCTCATCCACGTGGTCCTGGTTTTAAAAAGTCACCTGTTCACAGTAGTGCAAATGAAAACGTTTGTTTCTATTGTAGAAAACCCGGCCATATTATTGCTGTCTGTCCCACTCTGAGTAAAAAGCAGAACCCTAAGCCTGTAGCTTTTCTCAAGTTAGATAAAGATCCGAGTTGGAGTCAGAAGCCTAAATCAAAGCTTGAAGTGGCCTGTTCATCCTCATTTTTAATGGATGGATTTGTTTCACTTGGTTCAGACCCAACTACCAAATGTCCTATTAAAATCTGGAGAGACAGTGGAGCATTTCAGTCTGTCATTTTACAGAATGTTCTCCCGTTTTGTGATCAGTCTGCGTTAAAGTGTAGTGCTGTTGTAAGGGTTTTGGTGGTTATTTAACTCTGCCTTTGCACACTGTTAACTTACAGACTGCTTTAGTGTCTGGACATGTCCCTGTAGCTGTGTGTCCCTCTATTCCCATTCAAGGTGTGTCTCTCATTTTGGGAAATGATTTGGCTGGTGACAAAGTTCTAGCTGCTCCTGTAGTTGTCTTCTCTCCTGTTGCATCAGAGCATCCAGATGAGCTAGAGCAGGAGTACCCAGACACATTTCCAGTGTGTGCGGTCACCCGGTCCATGTTGAAAGGGTCTGCCCTTAAGCATAATGACACAGAGCAGGGGCGGATTCAGGATTTTTCAAAGGGGGGTATGCACCTAAGGGTCACGGGTCAAGACAATGTGAGGCTAAAAGACCAAAGAATATCATCTTCACTCTTTCACACTACCCTAATTATTCATCCAAGGGTTTTTAATTGATAATTTTAATGGATGAACATAAGTAGAATTAGCAGTATTACATTATTGTAATTAAAAAGGATCTCTCGGTTTTTAAAGCATGCACAAGGTTAAAAGGTAGTTTGAAGAAAAAATTATCCTTATCAACAATTAATCAAACAAGGAGTTTCTTTATTTCCAGAAATGATATTTACACAGAACATGAAATAAATGTTAATATATTTTAACAAGATAAACTGTTGAAAAACAAAAGAAACAAAGTTAAACCACACAAAGAATATTGTTCTCTACTACAAACTTTATGATGATGATAATTGGTTTACAAATGTCAACCATCCCAGAATCTGGGATGCTTCTGGGCAAATATCTCTATGATTTTGTTGATGTCTAACTGAATGTCCTTGTGCAAATACAAAAGTAACAAAGCGACAAACCTTTCCTGTCACATTGTTGACCTCAGCAAAGTTTTCACTGCTTTAAGGCCCGAGTTAGCACGTTCCACAGAAGCACTGGTAACAAGTATGACTGACAGAAGGTGAAGAATCATATAAACGTTTGGGTAGCACTTCATATTTGTTATCTTTAGAATTTCAGGGAGAGAGTTGGGTTTTTCCACTGATGATGACCACTTTGTGTAGCCTGACGTAGTCCTACTCAATTCTAGTCAGAATATGAGTCTGATACTGC